TAAAAAAAAAAAAAGAAAAAAGAAAGATATAAGATTAGTATAGAAAAATCAGTTGTATTCCTATTTGATCAGCAATGAACAATCTGAAAATGAAATTAAGAAAATTATTTCATTTACAATAGAATTAAAAATAATCAAATACACTTCTTTTGTTAAATTTATTCCTAAGTAAGACTTGTACACCGAACTCGATAAGAACATTCTTGAACAAAATTAAAGAAGACTTAGATAAATGAAAAGACATCCTGTTTTCATTGATTGGAAAACTTAATATTGTTAAGATGACAGTACTCCCCAAATTGATCTAGATTCAGTTGCAATCCCTATCAAAATTTCTGCTGATGACTGCAGAAATTGACAAGCTAATAATTAAATTTATATGGAAATGCAAGGGACTCAGAATAGCCAAAACAATCTTGAAAAAAGAAGAAGCTGGAGGACTCACAGTTCCTGATTTCAGAACTGTGTACTACAAAGCTACAGTAAATCAAGACTGTGTGATGCTGGCATAAGGATAACCATATAAGTCAATGGAATAGAATTGAGAACCCCAAAATAAATACATTTGTCTATGGTGAATTGATTTTAAACAAGAGTGCCAAGACAATTCAGAGAGGGAAAGAATAGTCTTTTCAACAAGTGGTGCTGGGAAAACTGAATATCTATATGCCTAAGAATCAGTTTGGACCCCTACCTCGTACCATGTATAAAAATGGATCAAAGACCTAAATGTAAGAGCTAAACTATAAATCTCTTAGAAGAAAATATGAGTGTAAATCTTCATGACCTTAGATTAGGCAATGGTTTTTTAGATATGACACCTAAAGCACAAGCAGCCAAAGAAAAAAAGATAAATTGAATTTCATCAAAATTTAAAACTTTGTGCTTCAAAAGACACTATCAAGAAAGTTGAAAGACAACCCACAAAATGAAAGAAAATATTAGCAAATCATGTATCTTATAATGGTCTAGTATTGAGAACATATGAAAAAACTCTCACAACTCAACAGCAAAGAAAGAACTTTAGGGGCCAGCCTGGTGGCTCAGTGATTAAGTTTTTACATTCCACTTTGGCAGCCTGGGGTTCGCCAGTTCAGGTTCTGGGTGCGGACCTGCTCACCGCTCATCAAGCTGTGCTGAGCCAGTGTCCTGTACAGAAGAACTAGAAGCACCTACAACTAGGATATGCAACTATGTGTTGGAGACTTTGGGGAGAAAAAAGAAAAAAAA